GTATAAAGACCCTCACCTCTGCACTCGGGGGCTGATGAAATATTTAGCGGACATTGATTTGAGATTTCAGTTGGCACTCGGCTTATCTTTTAATTCAATTAAGAAAGTACAGAGCCCCCCCTACGCCCCACTTAGTAAAAAAATTCTAATTACCTCATGGTCTCAAAATAATCACTAACATTCCTCCACTGAGGAAGCTTACTCAGGTTCATTGTTCGAAACTCACGGACCCCAGCCTCCCACCCCAAGCAGTTTAACCCACTGGATAACTGGCTGGATAAAAGCAACATAATTTAAGTCATGTAAGTAATGTGACAAATGACTAAGTCACCGGTAACACAGCCACTCTCCGTGTTGTTTCCACTTGCTCCGGCAGACTTTTTTGTTAACAGGGGAGCTGCAGAGCGCTATATGGTGGGCAAAATATGCAACACTCGCAGTGAAGGATCGGACTCTCGGCTGTTCCTAAACACAGATGCCGATTTCAATGCAATTAACTCATACACTGAACTAAATTATAAATACAACACTTTCGTGTGCCTATTTCTCTCAAATATTTTTCACTAATATTTGCAAACAATATTTGTTATCTTTTGTGTACAAAGAAAGTCTCAGATCTTTGAGTTCAGCTCATGATGAAAGGGGGGATGAATGGGGGCAAAAACAAAAGTGTTGCGTTTGTATAATTTTGTTCAGTGTACAGTGCCTTGCGAAAGTATTCAGCCCCCTTGAACTTTTTCGACCTTTTGCCACATTTCAGGCTTCAAACATAAAGATATAAAACTGTAATTTTTTGAGAAGAATCAACAACAAGTGGGACACAATTATGAAGTGGAACGAAATTTATTGGATATTTCAAACCTTTTTAACAAATAAAAAAACTGAAAAATTGGGCGTGCAAAATTATTCAGCCCCTTTACTTTCAGTGCAGCAAACTCTCTCCAGAAGTTCAGTGAGGATCTCTGAATGATCCATTGTTGACCTAAATGACTAATGATGATAAATAGAATCCACCTGTTGAAATTAAGTCTTGGTATAAATGCACCTGCTCTGTGATAGTCTCAGAGGTCCGTTTAAAGCGCAGAGAGCATCATGAAGAACAAGGAACACACCAGGCAGATCCGAGATACTGTTGTGGAGAAGTTTAAAGCCGGATTTGGATGCAAAAATATTTCCCAAGCTTTAAACATCCCAAGGATCACTGTGCAAGCGATAATATTGCAATGGAAGGAGTATCAGACCACTGCAAATTACGAAGACCCGGCCGTCCCTCTAAACTTTCAGCTCATACAAGGAGAAGACTGATCAGAGATGCAGCCAAGAGGCCCATGATCACTCTGGATGAACTGCAGAGATCTACAGCTGAGGTGGGAGACTCTGTCCATAGGACAACAATCAGTCGTATACTACACAAATATGGCCTTTATGGAAGAGTGGCAAGAAGAAAGCCATTTCTTAAAGATATCCATAAAAAGTCTCGTTTAAAGTTTGCCACAAGCCACCTGGGAGACACACCAAACATGTGGAAGAAGGTGCTCTGGTCAGATGAAACCAAAATCGAACTTTTCGGCAACAATGCAAAACGTATGTTTGGCAAAGGCAACACAGCTCATCACCTGAACACACCATCCCCACTGTCAAACATGGTGGTGGCACCATCATGGTTTGGGCCTGCTTTTTCTTCAGCAGGGACGGGAAGATGGTTCAAATTGATGGGAAGATGGATGGAGCCAAATACAGGACCATTCTGGAAGAAAACCTGATGGAGTCTGCAAAAGACCTGAGACTGGGACGGAGACAATGATCGACAACATAAAGCAAAATCTACACTGGAATGGTTCCCAAATAAACATATCCAGGTGTTAGAATGGCCAAGTCAAAGTCCAGACCTGAATCCAATCGAGAATCTGTGGAAAGAACTGAAAACTGCTGTTCACAAACGCTCTCCATCCAACCTCACTGAGCTCGAGCTGTTTTGTTAGGAGGAATGGACAAAAATTTCAGTCTCTCCATGTGCAAAACTGAGAGACGTACCCCAAATGACTTACAGCTGTAATCGCAGCAAAAGGTGGCGCTACAAAGTATTAACTTAAGGGGGCTGAATAATTTTGCACGCCCAATTTTTCAGTTTTTTATTTGTTAAAAAAGTTTGAAATATCCAATAAATGTCGTTCCACTTCATAATTGTGTCCCACTTGTTGTTGGTTCTTCACAAAAAATTACAGTTTTATATCTTTATGTTTGAAGCCTGCAATGTGGCAAAAGGTCGAAAAGTTCAAGGGGGCCGAATACTTTCGCAAGGCACTGTATCTCCCAATAATGATGTGAGCTGCGTTTATGGTTGTAGATAGCTCGCTCCACCATGACATCTCACTTACTGTGTTTCTCTCTGTATGTCTGTTTGTTGTTATAGAAACGGAGGGAGGGACTCAAACGTCACCGCTGTCAGTTCTGTGACAAATCCTTCACAAGATCTGGATATTTAAAGATTCATCAGAGACATCATACTGGACAGAAGCCGTACACCTGTGACCAGTGTGGGAAAGCTTTCACTCAATCAGGTGACTTAGAAAGACACAGACGTGTTCACACTGGAGAGAAACCGTACAGCTGTGACCAATGTGGGAAAGCTTTCAGTAGAGGAGATGATCTAAAAGTCCACCAACGTGTTCACACTGGAGAGAAACCATACAGCTGCGACCAGTGTGGGAAAACTTTCACTAGATCAGGTAGTCTAAAAGTCCACCGACGTGTTCACACTGGAGAGAAACCGTACTGTTGTGGGCACTGTGGGAAAAGTTTCATTAAATCAGGTTCCCTTATGAAACACAAACGTGTTCACACCGGAGAGAAACCATACTGGTGTGAACAATGTGGGAAAGCTTTCACTCAATCAAGTGACCTAGACAGACACAGGCGTGTTCACACTAGAGTGAAACAGTATAGCTGTGACCAAGGTGGGAAAGCTTTCACTGAGTCAGGTTTCCTAGAAAGACACAGACTTGTTCCCACTAGAGATAAACCACACAGCTGTGAACGGTGTGCGAAAACTTTCTCTACATCATGGAAACTGAAAATCCACCAACATGTTCACACTGGAGAGAAACCGTACAGCTGTGACCAGTGTGGGAAATCTTTTTCTCATTGTAGTAACCTAAAACGCCACCAACGTAGTCACACTGCTTAATTTTGAACATTTTTCAGAGACATGCTAGCTGTTTCCACCTGCCTCCTCTTCATGCCCTGATAGCAGAGATTTTATATTCTGAGCTTCAGTAACAGTAACTTTCTATTATGTTATCAATGCTATAACTATATACTGTCGCCCTCCCCATTTCTTTTCTTTGAGGAAGTAAACTCTTGAGACTTTGTATACCCCCCAATGAAAAAATAAAAAATAAAAGTGGAGTCGGGTTTAATCCTCGCAACGCTTTCCTTGTGGGTGTTTTATCGCTGGACAACTGCTAAGTATTCGCACACAATGCAAATAAACACAACCTGCAATTATTACAGCTGTATGAACCCAAAGCATCATTTACTGTGATTTAACTACAATTAACGGATCAAATTCCGCAGGAAAATATTTTGGTTGTCAGAGCATAATCCAGTCCGACTGCAGCACTGCCCCCGGCTCTGTCCCCGTAGCTTAGCAGCTCTTCGTCGGTCTGCAGCCTTTTACTCCTTCGCTGTACCTGGTACTCTCCAAACAATCCTCTGAAGCGGTCTGTGATGTCCCGACAATCTCAAGGAAATGACGGCTCTCCGCGTCTTTACATTTACATTGTATGTAAACGCACTGCCCCCAAAGCTCATTTCTTTTTTTTGGTCTGAAAGCACCATGGGGCCTCTCCCCCATACAAAAGACAGAATGGTTTAGTCTGCCCCACACTAGGATTCATCTCTAAACAGGCTTAAAGAGCAGAGTAACTGCTGATGCAGGAGCATTGATGTTCCTTGACAGTCACGTCTGTCCCCAATTAAGGGACCAAAAAAGAAAAGAGACTAAGAAGGCAATGTGAAGGGAAACAACTTCTAACTAATTTACTTTAAAATAAAGGTGAGCACAATCACAATTAATAGTGTAAGCTAATATTGGAAGCAATCTAGCTTGACGTCTATTTGTATAGTAGGCTAGAACAAAAATTATCTGAATCATAAATTAAACTTTCTAAAGCTTGTATTCTTTGCTTTTAGACCTATATGCCTTTGAACAAATAACTTACACTGTGGTCTCAAAGACAAAGATAAATTAAAGCTGCAAGCAGCGTTGGGCGGGTCCCGCACGTGTAACACGTCCGGGTGTGAGCCGGCCACGTTCCATATTCTGGAGCTCTGCCGTTGCGGCTGTGAATTTGCTAGGCGGTTCGCACGCTGCATGTAGGTGTATACGTCACTTCCTGTGTCCCATAGTGCTACATAGCACTTGCCGCTATGAATATAAATTAATTTTGGCTTTTTATATGTATTCGGGGTGGGAGAGTTATCAAGCACGTAAAGTTTTGTTCAGATGTGAGCATGTACACTACACAAGTTACAACAACTTCCTGTGTCATGGCGAAGAGTTGATATTTGACGCCACGCCACGGACACGCCCATTGACGAAAACTCACAGATAGCACAACTTTTCATCGTCAATGCCTTTAGAAGGCACAGCAGAAATTTGAAGTCAGTCGGACTAAATCCCTAGGAGGAGTTCGTTAAAGTACGGAGTGTGTAAATCATTGTTGTATGTGTGACATGTTGAGAATAAAGATGCAACCAAGTCATAATATTTTTACAAGATCTACCTGCCTTATATACTCGTGCTATAAATGATCATATTATTTTCATGTGTTTTAATCAGTGATAGACTTGATAGCTTCAACATTGATCTTTTTTTTTTTTTTTTTTTGAGGCTCAGGCCTTATGACGCCCATGTTCTACATTACATCAGCGAATTATGCTTTATTCTTTCAAACTTGGCGTAGCTTTAAGCACTCATAGATTTTTCTTTTAGTCACTCTAACTAAATCCCACAGTTGTTTGTTAGCTGTCGTACATTAGCTTTGCAGCTAGCGATGTCCTCTCACTTTCCCTCTCAATCTCCTGCTCTGTTTGTCAAATATTTAGCTATTCCTCTGACTCCTTTACTGATCCTGGTACCTGTAATAAGTATAGTTTGTCGCATTGGAGGTGAGGCATCATACATTTTTAACTCTGCTCCGCACCACGGAAACTCAGTCTTTAGCTGCTATAGTTGGCCATCCCCAGGTTGCCAGCGCAGACTGAGGTGTCTCCGGTTAGCTGATCTAGAGCACGAGTCAACAACCGGAGAAAGATCAAGGAGGACATTAGCATCTGACACCAGAGAACATCTGTGAACAGAGACAGAGGTTACCATCTCCACCTGAATACAACCACGTGTTATCATGTGACTGTCCTGGACTAGAGTCATGTGATGACCATAAGAAGGCCATGGGATGTGGTCAAAAGCTCCAACAAAGAGGTAGTATGTGAGGCCTGAGTTTAGACTCATTTATTACAGATGTGTTCCCCAAAGTCAAGAAGGAAGCTCCACGCTGGATGAAATATTGTTTGTTGTTGTTGTGTTTTAGTTAAACATATTTTCCATATTTTATATCTGTATTTACTGTTTTTATTTTCTTTTGTTTATACTTTGAGTCAATAAATATTATTGACACATTTCATGTTCATTATACATAAAATGTGTGACCTTCCCATGTCTTAAAAACATGAACACCTGATGTAAAATCTGGCTAAATGCGTTATGGATTTTGATCTGCTGTTATTTCTGTTGCTGAATGTGCTTTTGAATCTGTTGAGCTCTGTTTCAGGTTTGTCTTTGATTAATGCACAGAGAGACAAAAAAACCAAACTGTAAGAAAGAGACTAAAGAAGGGGAGTTTCTGCTGAGTTCTGAGATCAACGTCTGCAGTACTCGGTACGCTTCAAACAAACTAGGTCATGACGTCTGTTTATACCTGCTCCAAATATCAACACTTGAAGACAGGGCAAAAGTCCAAATGTTTCTGAGGCCTGAACCAGGTCCACTGGAGGCCTCTGGGTTTAACTGCTGTGGTTTGATCCAGTGAGGAGGAAGAGGCGCTGAATAAACAGGGACTACAAAACCACTACAGACCACATTTGTGTTCAGTCTGAACAAACCTTTGTTCTTGTGAAAGTCTGATTGAATCAAATATTATTGCGTCTTCATTATCTGACTCCATTTTAACAGCTGGCTGCTTTCTGTTCTGTCAGTAAATGTGTTGCTTTCTGTTTAACTTGCATCCTGCCAGGGTTGGTGCTGTAATAATCTGAGCTTGGAGACTTGAGACTTGGACTCAAGTTCTTTTCAATATTCTCATTAAATTAGTCGCCACAAATAGAAGCTTTGACTCATCGTTTGAAACTGGAAGTTCAATGAACTGTTTCCTTTCAACAAGAATTGTTGTTCTGTTGTAATTAGTGCAAGCGCAGACCATTAACTGTTTTACAATTGGTAATGACCCAGGCTGACCAGGGATTGGACGATGGTTATGATGACATTATCATCATCACCACTGTCTCCATCATTCCTGAAAATGCTCAGTAATCCAAGAGAGAAAAGTTGTGGTTTCAAAGGAACCAAAGGATCCAAGGCAAGTCTCTCGTGGTTATTACGAATGTTGTATCACTTGCTGTGTTCAATCCAGGTGGCTTATAAAACTACATAGCTATAAGGACTACTGTAACTGTAACCTGTGAATGTTTTGTGAGGAGCTCTCCAGTTTGTCCTGAGGGACGAACAGACTGACAGTGACAGGAAGCAGCCAGCAGGAGGCAGCAGAGGAGCTTCAGTTTGTTCAACAGATGATAGTTTTCACTTTAAAGTCACTGGAGGAGCAAACTGTGTGCAGAGGGTTTGTATCCTGTTACCTTTAATAGAAACCAACCAGTCCTCCTATAATGGAAGATCAGCAGCCCAGTAAGGTTGTTGTTATTTGATTAAACGCCAGTTTATTATGAAATAAACAGCATGTGAGCAAAATATCAACTGAAATCACATGCATCCCACACTTCACAGACCCACTTGCCAGCTTAACTCCCCCTCTTTAATGACCGTACAAGTGTCAGTTTTGGAGACTGGCCAGCCAAGACAAAACTTCTCCCTTCTGAAAAGATGGTCTTACCTGGATAACAGTCACAAACTGAGGTGATGAACTGGGTTTTCTCTTTGATTGTTCTAGTGAGGAAAAGAGACTGAACACACAAAGACCTTCCTCTTAGCCTGATGTGATCAGAGATAAGAGGCCAGATACCGCCATAAAAGATGGAGAGACTGTTATTAAAGAAACAAAAGATACAAACTTTGATCAATGTCGTAGGAAGAATTCGATACAGGAACCGAGCTAACCAGAACTTGTTACGTTACATTTACAGTTAGTCACTTAACTGACTCTTTTATCCAAAACGACATACATTTGCTGTATGTCAGAGGTCGCACACCTCTGGAGCAACGTAAGGTTAAGTGTCTTGCTCATGGACACATGGTGTCTCGCAGTGGACTTGAACACATATTAGTTACACATATCCACTAATACTGAAGCTTGGTTTGGTGTTTGTCTGTGTTTGCACTGAGCTCCTCTCTCTCTCCATCTGTATGAAACCATATCCCATTAATACATAATACTAACTCGACTTCTTCCCTTTCCCAAAGTCTTGTGCTTTTCCTCAATCCTCCTGTTGCTTTCTGTAGATGTTGCTGGTTCTGGGTCTGTGGTCTGTGGAGAGAAGCCTTTTGGCTGAAGAAGAGGAAGCAGACAAAGTGAGTTCATTTCTGATTTAGATTCTACACACATGGAATCATTTCCATTTGCTGAATCATCATGAAGATGTTCAGAGCCTCTTCTGCTGCTGTTGTTCCCTTTTACACTTCTGCAGGAATAGCAATATTATATTTTCCACTTTTTCTGTCCATCAGATCAGCCGACCAATCAACAAGCAGACTGTTTCTGCTGGATGATGGAGGAGCACGGTGGATCTCTGGGTCACCGGCTGGAGGACAAAGAAAGCAGAATGACCCAGAGACAACATGCTGCCTATGAGGACGTCCCAGCAGAGACATGGAGGGGAGGGTTACACCATCACTACACATCTGTGTGTGTTGAAAAACAAACTTCACGCGCCACACACGTCTTTCTCCAACACTTCCTCGCTTGTTGTGTGGAGACATTTGTCTGTCCAGCTTCCTGTGTTTGACTCTAGTGTAAGTGGAAGGTGCTGACTGTGATCAGAGCTAGGGCTGGGCGGTATATCGGTATATAATGTATACCGATATAATTTCAAAAGAAATATGAAATTGGACAATACCGTTTATACCGATATAGTTTGATGTTGAGGTGATTAATTAGTTTCGTCAAGTCCTGCCAGCGTTTGCTCCTCTCTCTCC